AGATAGTATAAATTAAAAGAATAAAACTCAAATAAGAATATGTTTGCTGTCACACAACATGATGTCACATGTGTATCATATGACATGTATCACCTTTGACACACAGCAATATTTCAGACAATATAAATAGATACAGCAATGTAGCTATTCAGGGTCTTTACTATTTTTACCTTGTCATGCACAGCTGGTTTTGTTTTTGTTTTTTATAAAAAAGTGGCTATGATACACAAATGTATCATATGACATGGAAAGAAAACAAAGCCAATGTTGGGGATGTATGTTAACCTCATTTTTTTTTATACTTTAATAACTTTTATTTAACAAAATAAATCATTGCCTTATACAGCAATTCCTAATGGTAACTCCAACAAAACATAGATGTCATTATGTAAGAGTTGAAATATCCAAAATGAATATGTTAAAAAAAGAATTTTCAAATTCATAGACATTTCTTCAGAAATGAGATTACCAAATTCAACTAATGTACAATTATCAGCTTAAAACTGAATTGGTATCATTAATAAAAGATACTAGATCTAACCTGTGACCAATACTAGAGTAGAGAGTGAATGAAATGAAGACTTATGAACCCTGACATTGTTACTAGAAAAAAGAAAGTTTAATCATATCAAAAGCTGGTAAATGCATTGCATTTAAAAAAATACAAAGTACACAGAAATTTAAAAAATCTAATTTAATTTTGTTGGAAATTGCAGTAAAGTGATAATCATATTTATTTTTATTTAATACATTTACTTTATTACCAGAGAAAACTGTCAATATAAATTAAATATACCTAATATTGAAAAAGCCTTGGATTATTTTCTATACTCCTATATAGTTTTATTCTGGCTTATATAAGACATCAATATTTTTTGTTCGTACACAAACAATACTCTTCACAATAAATTGAAAAGGTCAACATTTCTATGAAGTTGCTTTTATAGTTACCACAGTAGTAATGACCTTTACATGATTGTGAAGGTGAATGGCTCTTATACAAAGAGACAACTATTCATTTAATGTACACCAGCACACCAGACCAATTTCTGCTGAATCATATAAAGTAGACATCTAAAAATCAATATTTAAGGACACTAATTTTTGATATTTCAATTATTTTATTCAATATTTTATTGTTCATATTTGAAATAAACAGATAGATTTTTTTTAAATAAAATATATACTTTTCTTCCTTTTCCCATTTTTGCAGTTGGCTTCATTTTACTTGGTGTTTACTAGTAACCTTAAAATTATTATTACTAAAATTAGTTTATAAAAGAAAGCTATTATGCTATTGTTTATCATTATGTTGGTGTTGCACATTGATATAGTCAATGGAAATTCTGTTCCTGAGGCATGCTGTCAACAACAAGACTTATCACAATTCAAGAACTTTTTAGAGAATCCTCACTGAGTAAATAATGACTGGTTTCTGGAGGTCTACAATTTGGGTCTCAATTCCAATTTTTCACTAAGTGACCTTTCAAGCTTCTAATTATTTTTAATTTATTATTATTATCATTATTAATGAAAAGTTATTAAATGGAAAAATTGACAAAGTAACCTCTTCTGACTGTAACACAAGATCTGACATTATTGTTTTAGACTGACATACAATATTATCAACAACTGCTCAGGAAATTCATTATGTTATAAAGTTGTCTTGTTGGATTTTCACCCTAAAATATTAGTTTAAAATTTTAAAGAATCTCATGATTTTAAAGCACAGATAAAAATAAATTTAAAAAAGCTAATCTGTTAGATATTTTGTTTTTTGTTTGAATTTCTGGGATGAGAAATTATTATTTAGACATAGACTATTGTCTTTATCTTTTTTGTTATCACAAAAATTTGGTTGCCGTACCCTTTGACCTTCATTGGTGTTACCAGGATCGACATACACCTTATGAAGGCAAAAACATTGTGATAATAGCCACAAAGATGAAGACAATAGTTCACATATAAATAATCTAAAGTAGATATTTATCTAACTAATAAAAAAAAAATGAGGGGTCGTTTTTTTTTTTTTTTAATTGTTTGTTTGGATCATCTTTGAAAAATCCAACTTGTATGTGAAAAATTCTAAAAATAAGTCAGACACTTGTCAGTTACCCTGGAGTCTTCATGCAATTTCTGACATTCATTATCCTTCCAAGAATTTGTTATTTTAAAACTAATCTAAAATTACAGCAGGAACACTGGACCACTTGTGGCAGAAATATTCAAAGCATTGGACAAATGGTAGATTTATAAATATTTAGGATAGTTTCAAGAGAGAAAAATTGTCTAGCATGATACAGTGAACTAACTTTCTTAGCAGACTTTTTTAAGGGATTCGATATAATCTTTCCACTTTATGTCAGCCGAGAATGTTAGCCCAAGAAGGTACAATGAGTTACTCTCAGCCATGATGATGGGAGGCACAAAGGGGTCTATCAGGTGACTGATAGAACAAAGTTTCATTTTGGAGGTGTTAAAATTCACATGCTATTACTTGTCACAGCTAACAACAGACTGAAAGTTGGTTTGGTTTGTTTTACAGCATATCAACCTCAATGGGTTATTTAATGCTGACAAATTTTTTTATTGCTGGTAATATTTTGTTTTGTCAAAAATTTGTTTCTGGTAATATTTTTCTTTCAAAAATGTATTGATGGTAATAATTTTTTTCAAAAAAGTATTGCTGATAATATTTTTTATTTTTTTATTTTTTTTTTTTTTCAAAAATGTATTGCTGGTAATAGTTAACTATTTGCCCATGGCTGGGACCCTAACAGGTGTTACCACCCCGGATCAAGGTGGACCTGGGAACACCAGCAATTAAGAAGTGATTTCATGCTCCTCAAAAGCTCCTGATCAGAGGCCTTGCTGCTGGATATAGTTTATCGTCTTACCCAGAACACGGATGCAGTTTATAGCCATACCTAGGACGGACAGACTGAAAGACTGAATCCATTCAAAAATTAATCCAAAAATGCCATAGCCTTTTATCTTATGAAAAATGATTTTGAAATGTCCAAAGCAACAACCTGGGTTTCACCAGTATTATCTAAAGCTTCTCTTTCAGCAATAATCATGAGTGTATCATTAGAGAAGCAAAAGCCATATTGCTTGTCTGAAAGAAGACCTTGCAATGTAAGATGCTTAACCAATTCAGAGTTGATTAGGGCCTATAGTACTTTGCCAAAATAATTTTTAATAACTTTCAATCTTAGTATGAATTTGAACTTTGGGAGAATATCACAAAATAATGAGAATTATATGATTTACCTTTGGCCACAACTTTAGAAAGAGAACTGTGTGGTCTTTTTGAAATTTTTCCCTGAATCATGACAGACAGTCAAATGATTATTTCTTTGATTCTCTGTGAACAAAGTAGGAAAATTCTTGAGAAATGAATTTTAAATCCATTTGTTATCATTAACCAGCTTGAATTCCAGATTTAACATCAACGATCCAATTCCACTTATCATTGATCATTTTTTTAAATTTTCGTCATTTCATCCAATTCCACTTATCATTGATCATTTTTTAAAATTTTCGTCATTTCAGCTTGTCGAAGTTAGGCTTCAGATGACATTTCACCATTTTTGAAATGCAAACACAACTTGTGCATTTACATTTGGTTTAGATTTTCTTTTTTATAAAGCTTCTAAAAACATTAAAACAGTTTACTCCCATCTAAAGGAAACAAAACTTTACACGCTTTTGGTTCTTTTTTTTTTATCAGATATATTGGAAATTGCCAAACAAGCTTGCTAAAAAAAAGCTACAAAAGTAAATTAGTTAATTCAGAACCAAACCATATGGCAGACTAAATTAGAATAATAGTATTGACTTACGGTACCTAGAAGTGTAATTATATCAAGTTCGAGAACTACATTCAAATTCCGTATTTTTTTTTTTTGCTAAGTATCCCTCATACATTATCTTTCAATTATATATATATATCCATTATAATAAAAACTTTTTTTCAAAAGATTCCATTATAACTGATATATGTAACTGAAGAATTTTTAGGTTTTATTTTTCAACTCAAAAGCTGATGTCAACAATATACCTGCTAAATGCTAAACAAATTGCTTCAGTAATTAACAATGTTTAAATACAAGTTTACCAAAATATTAATATCATGTTTTTGATATTTTACAAGTACAATGCCATTCCAAAATTACTATTCATTTATTCATAAGACATAAATTATGGCAACTTATGTATATAAAAAAAAAAAAGAAAATTCTATTTTATATCATCAGATGAATTCACTACATAGATGAGCAAATCTCAAATCATTGTGACTGAGCATTTGAGCAGACAGGCCTTGTTCAACTACTGGTCACCACCAGATTGTGTGCTCTCTCTCTCTCTAAGAAATTGTAACTATATTGTCCACTTAGCATAGATGCAGTATAAACCACTCTGTGGGTTTTGAAATAACACAAATATGCCTGAGCAGAGATTAGCTAGCCTCCCTAACAGATGGGTGTACTAAGAAATAAGCAACCAGCCATTATATATATATATATATATATATATATATATATATATATATATATATATATATATATGTGTGTGTGTGTGTGTGTGCGCATGTACACACATAATGGCTTTTCATAGGTTAAAAAAAAAAGAAAATGTTCAAATTAACAAATAACATTCTACTCAGCAGTGAGTAATTATGGCATTTTATTTATCAAGTTTAACATCACTTAAAATTCTATTTCTATTACATCACCAGAAGATATCCTTATACAGGGATGGGCAATTCACCCTCTATGTAGCAGACTCTTCTGTTGACATAGAAAAGCATTACAAGTAGACACATACACACAAAATATAAAATATATGATTAGACATTGTGTTTTATATATGTGGATTGCAAGAATTAATTAAAATAATTGGTTTGGAAAGAGTTTGCTAAAGGGTCAATGAGTTTTGTCCTGGTTTCATTGAGTATTTTTTTACTTTAAAGGAGAATAAATTTGAACATAGATAAATTATCTGTAGGCAAGACTTATGGAACAGTTATGCAAACAGCCACTCCCCTGGGGTTCATACACAAAATACAACAAAATGGTTGGACTATAAAAGAGAAACTTACATTCAGATCGCATGCCAACTGCAAGACACTTCTGTAGGCGACAAAACTGGCATCGATTACGATGTATTTTGGTAACAGGACAGTCCTTATTGCCTCGACATGCATAACCCAGTTGTTTTCGAATACTCCTCTTGAAAAAACCTTTACAGCCTTCACAACTAATTGCACCATAGTGACGACCTGTACAAAAAATAATACAAATAACAGAAAGACTTAGAAAGTGATTACTAAATAATAATCAAATAGAAATTATGTATTTTTGCAACTAAATGTAACTATTGTAAGATGTTCATCAAGGGCAGACTATTTTTTTAATGTTTCTTATTACCATTAATGCTTGATGCTTCCTTTTCTCCAAGGAATTTAAAATAAGAACTCCACTCGAATAAACAATCCAGGGCAACTATATGAATATATTTGAGAAATGAAAAGGGGTGCTTATTTTGATCTAGGATCAAAATATGCTTTCATATAAAACAATTAAGGTTGGTAGCAATCAAATGAAGACATTACTTAAGTATACTCAATGTTATAGGAAATGAGAAATAGCCACCATATTGAAAATCAGTTTGGCTATGTTAATTGCTTTAATATATAGCTTCCACATAAGGAAAAAATCTTTCTAGACTATTTCCATGAGCAATTCATTACTTAAACATAAAAAAGTTCTGTTATTTAAAAAAAAAAAACACATTGTGACTGGCAATGAAAAGTGGATACCTTACAACATAGAATAAAAGAGATTGTGGACTAACAGCGAAATAAAACACTGCTAACCAAACCAAAGACTAGTCTTCATCTGAAAGTAATGTTACATATATAATAGGATTGAAAGCGATTCCTCTATTATAAGATACCTACAGAGAACTAAGGGACTGATTCCAAAAAGTACTGTTCTCAGTTAAACCAAGGCAGCAATCAACAAAACGTGTCCAGAAAATGTGTCATAATATTTCATCAGGATAATAGATTCTTTTATTGACCAAACTAAAATAGTTATAGGTTGGCTTATTTGTTGTATTCAGCAGATATTGCACCTTTCAGCTAATATTTATTCCAGTCTTTACAAAATTTTCTTAATGGGCAAAAATCAATTCTCTGGAAGATTGTAATAGGAAATAAACAGTTTTGGGCTGAGAAATATAAGTTCTGGTAGGATGGAATGTTTGTTTTTTTTTAAGACAAATGAAAGAATTTATATAATTGCTAACAAGAAATTATCAGAAAACCAATCACAGATTAGAAGGGGGACAATAAACACAATGAGGTACATGTAAAAATTAGGAAAGAATAATTAATATATTATTTCATTCAGAAGATATTATTTTTCTTTGTTGTTTTTTTTTTATCATGTTTCAATCAATGTAATCTCCAGCCTCTCTGTTGGATTTTAGAATGTCAAATTTTGGCAGCACTTGGAACTGTCTCTCCCTGGCACTTGTTTTACATCCATGAGCCTCCAGAAAACTATGTGAATTTCAGTAAAATTCACTTTTATTGATTCGTGCCCCAAAGCATACCTGGCATTTGTTGTTTTGTTTTTATCCTCAAATTAATCTTCCTTTTCTTTTTATCATTGGCTCCCACAGGCTACTGATAATTATGCTTGGCCTACTGATTGGATGATTTGAGTATTTGTGACAATACATTCACATAAAATTAGACATTCTAAAATACAAGACATTCAAGAAAAGCTGAAACATTGAGATAAAAATGCAACAAAGATGGGGATATTAGTTTTGATGAACAATTTCTTATCTTAAAAAAAAAAAAAAAAAAAAAAAAAAAACAAACTAATCAATATAGAATAATATCTAAAAGAATTGATACTGAATAGTCCTGTCCAAAGAATTTTTCTCATCCACTTACCTGAGGCTTTGTCACCACAAACAATACATGGTTTAAAATTTTGTTCAAATTGTTGTTTCTGAGTCAATTTGTCCCTGACAGCTTGTTGCTCCTCCCTTAAACGCTCCAGCCTCTGGCTGTGTTGTAATTCCTGAAACAAAAAAAAAAAAAAAAATTCCAGTCAGGTAAACAAGCATTAGTCATAATTATATTGCTTTCTTTTAACCAAAAGAGGCAGATTGTCTTGATTACTTTTCAACACATCCTCGTGACAGAAAAAGTTTGATTTGACTAGCATCATCATCATTAGCAGCAGCTGTCAAATGACCAGGTGTGGTTGTAGATTCACTGTGATTGTCGTGAGCAAGATACGTGCCCGAAAACACCCATGCATTGCATGCGTATGGTGTCGCAGAGCAGTTGGAGGAAGGGAGAATTAGCGGAGTGCGTCTACGCATATGTAAAACTCTCCCACTCAACCAATCGACTGCTTCATCACGGTCTATAAAATGAGTGTGTCTTAGGCTTTGGCAGTTGGGGCCCGAGGAAGCTGATGAGGATGACGAGAGACTACTGCCCTGTACGAGAGATGACTGCCATACATGGCCATAGAGCCCAGCCTACCCCATTGTGATAGATGGCTGTTGACCCTACTAGTATACTAATGCATGATTACCTCTGCTATTAACCAAAAACAAACAATACTTTTTCTTTTCTTGAAGAATTTATAGAATGCGCAATAAACAGTCAAAAATACAGATCTCTACACTTTAGCATTGTAGGCATTCTGAAAGCAAAGGAAGTATTTGTTGCAGATTACTTCCACAATGAAAAATCACTGTAAGTACAGACTCAAATATCGGGGGCAGAAAGAAATGCTGAAAACTTGATTCGCCAGTACTATCTTGAATCACAATGCGTGTAACCAGTCAGAAAAATAATTCACTCTCTAACAAATGCCGAAGCCAAAAATGCCCAAATTTTCAGCTCTCGATTTGAGAACACCAACTGCTTTTATCGGCAGAACCTTTTTTTTTTTTTTTTTTTTTTTCATCGACAGCTGGGAGAGGGTGTTCAGTAATTTGCATATCAAAATACTTTTATACCAACTCCTGCGACGGACTTGTTTTTTAATTCAAATATTCCATTTTCAGCATGTCATGCGGAATACGTGCCCTTTTGTTTGGTAAGTAATTTTCTTTTTTGCCACATTTTCCATCGTAGAATACATGCGACACACTGTCGCTTGGTTTGATGATGTAAGTCGCCGTTTTCTTCTCTATAATTATATTATGTGCATAAAGTGGAAAAATTTAAGTCTCTAAAAAGATTATTTTCTAAAAAACGGTTTAGCAATATTTTTTTTTCTTTTTGCTAGTAAAGAATTCAGTAATAGGATCAGTTTAGTATCTGTGTACTCCAATCCGGATCAAAGTGTTGATCCACTTGACCATCTACCTAGAATAAGAGTAGTAATTGTGAATTCTGTGTAACTTAGTATTTGAAAGTTAATTTTATCATACTGTTCCAGCAGCAAAATATTGACATAGTGGATATGTCACTTACCTGCCTCTCACCAAGACAACCTAGGTTCAGTGCACCCTACCCAACTTAGAATTTGAAAGTTAAAATTCACTTGTTAATTTTATGTATCAGTTTGCTTCAACATCAAACAAAGAAATAGAGAAAAAAGTTAGATTCATGTTCATTATTATAGCTGATAATCTGTGTAAAATTTTAATTGAATTTGATAATCAAATTCACTGCTCCATGAATAATGACAGAAGAAATTAATAATTAGCTCCAATATATGAGGGCAGAACAATAAGTTCATAGCTTGACACTGTAATTAGGTGAATCTTAAAATGAAAGTTTCATTGTATAATGTTCAGTCTATGGAGAAGCATTGGTTTAAGTCCATTGATAAGGAAAGTGATTAAGATAAAAAATAAATATTTGTTGTATAAAATAAATATTTTTCCATCATTAGACTGAGGACTTATTGATTAACATCCATGATGTTTGCATTTAAAATTAACTCAAGATTTTTAGAAATATCAACATTAAACAAATAAAAGATTTATTAATAATAGAAATGAATAAAACCTTCTTCAAGCCAGGGAATATTTGGTATTAAACTGATTTCTTTCTTGATTGTTAAATTTAATAGATTTCCATGTAAAATGTCTCTTTTCAAATACAGGATGCGGCTGAAATACCTCCTACATAATGACAATAGATGAAGACATCATTACCACTAATGTCCTATGATTATGTGCAAGCTATTTCTGATACATCCTGTATAACATCTCTTAAATAGGGAATTTTAAATGTTAAAAAGAAAATAAACTTGGAAAACAAGAGATTATTAAATACAAATTTAATAATCATTAACATGTTGCAAAAATTGAAATTGGCAAATAAAAACATCAATTAAAAAAAGAAAATGATGGCATAGAGGAAAATTAAGAAAATAAAGATACATTTTTCAGTGTATAAGATACCATCTTATTTCCAGAAAGAAAAAAAAGAGGTAAGAATGATTACTATACTCGCCCTTGAATCATATTTTACACAAAATTTAATACCTTTTGTATACAGGTATTCTCTGATTAATTAACCCTATAGCATATAATACGCTCAGACACGCCCCATAAATATTGGCCCTCAAAGTCTCACTGTTTGCATGACTTACTATATTATTTGCAATTATGTCTTCATATATTATGACAGGGTTTCCACGGGGCAGGTTACAGTGGGTTGAACATTCAGAGCCAATATTTACAGGATGGATTGAATGCTAAAGAGTTAAAGTTCTCTATTGACCAATTTGCTTTTACATTAATTAAAGCTTCTAAAAACCTCCAAGAATAGCATTAACTGAAAAATCATTAATTTATATGGCAAAATATCTTCAAGTTCCCATGCTCCCAAAATAACATTCTTCTATGACTTCCTGCATTGATGTTGAACGTATAGGTTTTTTTATCTGCTGTGGTTAGTATAGAAGGCCTGAAATATGACAGTATGTTTGATTGTTTAAACTTGAATTTTTATTTTCTTTTTTTAATCATTTCACTCCAAGCAAGGCAATAAAGCCACTAAGATGCAAGATGTTATTGAGTATTAGAGAATATGAGAAAAACTACTATTAAGAAGAGAGGACAATAAAAGAGTAAAAATTAAGAAGACAGAAGATAACAATTGACATTGCATTTAAATTTTTGAAGATCAAATTTGACTGGAAAGCAAGAAGCCGGAATAGAGTTCCACAAGCGAGCAGTGCAATAGAAGAAACGATTAGCATAGAACTTACAGTTACATCTATTTCAAATGTAAAATGAGACTATGTCACAATCTAGTACTGTGCATAAATTCATAAAGTCTAAGTACCAAAGAGGAACATTCATCAGAACAATTACTATGAAAGCATTTATAGAAAAAGCATAGGGAAACTATGACAATGGAAATGGGACTGAAGCCGAGATGCTAGATCAGAACCGATAACATTGCAGATTCTTCTTTAGATTTTATAAAGAATCTCTAGATATATAACAGGAAAACCAGACCAGATATGGCAGCAATATTCAAAGAAAGGATAAATGGTAGACTTATAAATATATAAGATAGATTTTGGTGAGAAAAATTGTTTAGCACAACATAGTGAACCAACTTTCAATATATTCTTTCCACTTCATGTCAGCTGAAAACATTAATACAAGAAGATGCAATGAGTCACTCTCCTGGAGGTTAGCATCAGCCATGCTGATGAAAGGTAAAAAGGAGTTTCTCAGATGATTAAAATAAAGCAATTTCATTTTGGAGGTGTTAAAATTAACAACCCACTTAACAACAGATTGTAGGTCATTTTAACATCATCTGCCAATTTGACTTTATTGAACTGATCAGACTTATCAAGACAGGAGTAAACAGTTGTGTCATCAGCATAGATACCAAGTTGAGAACTGATGACATCAGGAAAGTCATTTGTGAAAATTAGAAACAATGTAGGTCCAAGGATAGAGCCCAGAGGAACACCTGTATTTATGCAAAAAGATCTAGAAGAGTGGCCATTCAAGATAACATTCATTTCACAAGTTGATAAGAAAACTAAATCAGTTAAAAAATTTGTTCAGAAATAACATAACATTTTAACTTGTGAAGAAGACCAGTATGCCAAACCATGTCAAATGCCTTCAAGATATCTAAAATAACAGCTTGAGCTTCACCATCTTTAATTAAAGCTTGATAGACTCTTAAAGAAATAATCATTAGTACATCAGCAGTTGACCTAAAGAAGTCAAAGCCATATTGCTAATCTGAAAGAAGACCCTGCAATGTGAGATTCTTAACCAATTCAGAGTTAATGAGGGCCTCTAGTTTTTGCTAAAAAGTAGAAAGGCTAAAAGAAGAATCAGATGGTTTGCCTGAATTCTCAAAGACTGGAACATCACAAGGGCTGGAAATCAAAAAGGGTCTGGTCATCACCAATAAAATTTTATTTTTTTTTTTCAGGAGCACATTTCTAGAACTTCATGACAGAAACATCTTAACCACATGCTTTCTAGGGTCCCAGTGGAAAACTCAGATAATAATAAATGTTAAATATGCATATCACTCAACAGGGCATTTTTTTTTTCATATTTTATTTCAGCTCTGTTTCTCCAAAATTTTGAAAGTTGATGTCAGATACAGGAAAACAAAAGGTGATGATTTTGAATGGCTAAACTAGTGACCAAAATATTTGATAATCAAATATTGATTTTGGAAACATGGTTTTTTCATCTTTTATCTTAAATTTATGTGGATGTATTTTGATGCCTAAAGAAAAGCCGCTTTAATTTCCCTTTCCAGTATTGATTAGTATTTAAACTTGTTGAAATTTCATTTATATAAATTGATATTTTAATAAAAAAGATAAATTTAAAATCCCTTGTCCTGTTTTTGTCTTTAATTTTTGATTTTGAAAAACATTTTTTCATCTACCAAAAACATTTCAATTAATAATGTCTGATCATAAAAAGGTATTGTCAAACCTAGTCAAAAGCAAGTCCTTTTGAATAACAAGGGGGGTGTTTTAAAGTTAAAATTAATTTATGTAAGGTGACCAAGAGACCCCCAGAACAATGAGTTCATACATCATAAATTCTATTTGACAATGAGTTTTGGAACCTCAGGAAAATAAAAGAATCTTCAAGATAAATGACATTTTATTTATTTTGCATAGAGTCCTTTAGTTTCCATTTTTCAAAAATTTTCTTTAATAAGCCTTGATGTATTAGTAACAGTCTGGAGAAAACAGGTTTTGGGAGTGTGATGTCAGACTATGATGCAGATGATGTAATCTCAGTTTATTGCACATTTTCATATATAAAGTCAATTCTACTGTGTTTTAATTATTTATTTTGCAACAAAGCTCAACTTCATTAGAGCAAATGACCTCTTAACTAATTCTTCACATTTCATCCATTTCTGGTTTCTATGCGACAGAAAGAAAGGATTTCAAACTGCTTAGCTGTAAATGTTTTATTTTTAATTTTTCTTTTTTTTTTTGTTTATATATTTTATTTTATATTTTATTTTCATCAATCCTCACTTATTCTGATTTTCACTTTAATAATTCTCAGTTTCTTTTGAAGAATTAATTTTATTATTCCTTATTTAAAATCATAAATGTTCCTTTGTTTAAACTCAAACTAATCATTTTCTTTAAAAATAAATTCCTTTCTTATCTTGCAAACCCTTCATTATCATTCTATTCAGATATAAATTTATGCATATACTTTTTTGCAGATGTTATTCTTTTATGCCTCAAAATTGGAAATTGGTAGAATATTTTAAATATATAAATATATATATATTTTTATAAATATATATATATATATCCATCTATGTTCCATAGCCTATCCATGGGTTAAATAGGGATGCTGTACTGGGAACTTGCTCAACAAGGGCATCCAGTTGGTCTGAGAATAACCTGTATTCAAAACCATATGCAAAAACTGGTCCAAGCATATATTGTCCAATCATTGAAAAAAATCATGTTCTCATTGACTTTCTCTCTTGATTATCCTACAAGATGAATTGATAGAATATTCTTTGTATTAGGATCTTTCTTATATCCTTTAATCTAGTTAAAAATGGCCTAGATAAATCACTTTCAGCTTCCTCTACTTTAAAAATAGTCAAGGTCATTGTTATAACCATTTAAAAATATTTTTCACTTTTCTTTGCACATTTTCATTTCAGAAAATATGTGCCATCATTTTAGTGAATTTGCAACACCTGAACCTAAAGTATATCATCTCTGCAGAACTTTTTTAAATTCTGTTGAAGATATTATCTGATGAATTTAAGGAGAAACTCCCAAACAAATGCATGCAATAATTCTTGCATTGAAATTTGGCTTGAAAATAATAACTGAACCAAGGTGGTTGGAAAAGGGCTGTCTCCAGTTGCTGAAAAAAGCAAAAATTATTGGTGCACCATCAGTTTGTTCCTCACTATTTCTTAGCAGCTTTTTTTCTTGATGTTGATTTCCATGTCATATTTGGGTAGCTGTTTCATCCAGACCCTTTCCAATTTAACTATTTCATTCTTGGGACATGACCATCTGGGTACCATTAGGGGTGGAGGAAGTCTGCAATACTGTGTCAATATTTTTTTCAGCAGCCATCCATCGGGATTTTTTAGGAAAGAAGATACTGAAAAGTGTAGAAAAGTAGACATCTTGGGAAGCAATGAATGATGTGCAGAACCATTTCCTCCACTCTTTCCTGGGCAAAGAATTTTAGCTGGCCTTTTAAAGCTGTTAAATTTTTCAATTAGCATATGGCTTGATATTATATTCTTCATAATAGCCCATTTTTTGTGTCACATACAATCAAATGTCTTTTTCAAGTGTATGAATACATGGAAGATGTCTTAATGATGCTGACTGTATTTTTTCTTCATATACAGGCTTTGAACATTTGCTCTATTGTGCTCCTTCTGTGTCTGCAGCCAGCCTGTTCTACATTCCACTTTCAATTGTAGTCTTGGTCTTTTTGAATTTTTAAGCATAACTTTATCACTTATTCTATAATTCTGGCCTAGTTGACAAAAAGCCTTTGTTTAAAAAGGGTCATGATGAGACCTGAAAGTATATCAGTCATTCACTGGTTTGACAGATCTCATTACATCTAATTGTAAGTAAATCACTCTCAACTATAAGTGATCAGTTCTTCAAAATTAGTCAGTTCTAGCCATTTTGCCATTTTTCAATATTTTAATGGTATGGGGAAACAATCCATCCCCATATATTTTCCCACGAAATTCAAAGTTAATAAATAAAAATCAGAATGACAACCTTTGAAGAATACATGGTAAATTAACAATCAGATGAAAAATAAGAGTAACAACCAAAATGAGCATGGTGTCTGAATAAAAAAGCATATACTGAAGAAGAATTTTCACTTTTTGCAATCTAATGCCTCTGTGGTGATAATGGTATCAAGCTTAAAATTCAGTTCTGCATTTTTTCATTTTTTGGGTTTTTTAAGAGTGAGTTTAATCTTCAAATAAAAGGCAAAACTTGTTTGCACTAAATTTCAAAAATGATTAAGTAAACTCAGGAAACCTACAAAATGGGATTCAAAGTCAACAATTTTTCTCCAGTTTTTGTTTTTTTGTAGTTTTAAAAGGTTGAAAATTTGGCTTTGCAGTGTCCAAAGAGATTATTGCCATCATCTTTTCTAACTGAATTTTCCTAACTTGTTTTTTAAAGATATTGAACCCTATACATGCTTTGGTTTTGTTAGGACTCTCTCTTATTCACTAATTATTTAATTGTTTTTCTTTTCAAACTTTTCTAATATTGTTCTCAGTCCAGTCTTCTTTGGCTCTTTCAGGTCTTTTGAATTTTGAAATATGTCCTTTATATTCCTCATTCCTACAAGAGGATTGGGTTTCAAGTTCCTTCTTGTGTCACATATTTCTGTTTTCTGTTACCCATGGCTGGGTTTCTCTTGACATTCTTCCTGAGGATATCCTTTGCTGTTCTTTCATTATGTTACTACTTTTGATCCATTAACATTTCCCATCATATATATATATATATATATATATATATATCTTATATAATTGTATTTGAATTTATCAAAAAAAAAAAAGATAATATATTCAACTTGTTTTCTAAAAAATTGTTTCTTTATTAAACAATGTAAAGTTTGTTTTGGCTTTCCTGCATCAAATGTTGATTTAAAAAATTCAACAAAATGCGAATAAAAAAAACAGCAAAATTAAGGGATAAACTTTTTAAATTTATATGAATAAAAAAAATTCTGCTTGGTGTGTCAACAATAAAAGAAAAAGGTGTTTATTTACATATACAGAAAAAAAAAAAAAGCTATAAGGGATAAATGACAATTAGGAGGAAAAGACAGCCTGACAGAAATGTCCTTCTTCAGAAAATTTTTTTAATTCAAAATTGGCTTGTTCAAAATATTTCTCTCAAGGCCTAAAAGTTCTTTCATCCATGCTGAAGAGATGGATTCATAAAAATCCCACAGTTCTTGTAAGTAATGGAAAAAACTTGGTAGATTTAGGAATCTTACCAAGTGGTTAAATAAACACACTACCTACACAACCATAATTGTCAGAAGGAGTTAAAAGGATGCAGCTTTGAATTGGTCTTGAAATTGGACTGAAAAAAAAATTAAATGCCTATTCCATAACACTATTTAGCTATGGTAATTGGCTAACTAATTAACCATAGAAATTAAAAACAGGAAATACTTAAAGGTGAGAAAGAGCTATACTGAAAGATAGACTGAACAACATTAAAAAGAATTTTATTTTATTTACAAAAGAAAGATACTTTTTGCAAAAGACAGAAAATCAGTAAGAAAAAAGCGAGATATGTGATTCTGTCAAAATTAATTAATGTCATGTAAAGGGATTGACGCGCCAATAAACAGAATTCAGAAAGAAAAACAAAGCCAACCAACGCATGCAGCCATGGAAAAAAATTTGGCTTGGGACCACCATGGAGAATAGATATTAATTATCTTTCAGAGATATCATTTAATTTTAATTCCTGGGTCCAGTGAGGGAAGCCATCTGGTATGTGTACAAATCTTGGCATGAAAAAAAAAAAAGGGGATCATTATATTATTGCTTATTCAAACTGTTGACGTCAGACATAGCGTCATCAAAAATGGGCATCTGGTGATAAGAGAATTTTTAAGGCATGAGAAAATAAAGAATTTGGACCACCCAGTTAAAAGTTGACTTAGCAGAAGAAACCAAATGTCAGGTTTTTGACAATGATTAATGAGTCGATAGAGGCCCCGGCTAAGTGGATTTTGGGTGTCCCCAAAATTAAAATGTGATAAAAAGAATTATTTGGCAATCTGGGATTTCTAAATGTTTTGGCTGAAGAAAAAAAAAAAAAAAAAAAAAAACAAAATTTTGGAAAATAATTTCAAGGGGCCAGTCTAGCCACATCCACACTGCCGAGAGATCATTGGCCAACTGGTAGTATGGGTGATAGGCGGAGGTGAATGTATGAGAAAGAAAGAGAAGTTGTTAACACCCACTGAGGGGATTGGTATGAGATACCAATGTGAGAGAGGAAGAGTCTAGGAGGATAACTCTCCTCCGACCTTCCCTCATGGACAAGGGAGAAACCCCTGAAATGGAAAGTGATTAATCTTCCAAAAATGGGAAGTAATTAATTTTCCTGGCCTAAGAACAAAGAGAATTCTTGTTGGCAATTGAGAATTGTCAAAGAACCCAAACCACGACAGGCCCCCACACCGGAGTTGGTCGGTGTCCATATAAACAAACGTCTCAAGGCAGCTGATCAGAGTTTTCGACAGAGTTTCAGGGAATTAGGAGTTCCAGACAGTTCGAGTTTGGAGTTAGTTCGAGAGTGTTGCCTCGCAGAAGCTGACTGAAAGATTTCCACGTCCTTTTTGACTTGGTCTTCCTACCAAAAGCAAGTTTTTATTAATGAACAACTTAAGATACCATAACTTGCTTAAGAAACACAAAAAGTGTCACGAATCCATAGAAAAGGGCTGGGAAGAGAAACACAATCTTGTATTCAACAAATAGATAAAGATAATTGTTATTTCTCAACATATTTGAACCTCGTTAGTTTGTTTTATTATTTTTTTTTTACTTACGCTTATGCGGTATCACCTTTACCCCGGATTCAGCTTGCACTACGGCCCAACGCCTGATTGATTTCGTCTACCTAAGATCAAAGTCACAACATGGGTAGATTAGACTTGAGATCAAAGTAGTTACTTCGGTAACCAGACGTTGGAAGTGAGCTGGGAACAACAAGTTGGTATCGAACCCAGAACGATCAGATCGACCAGGACACAGGCTGGTGGCTGCAACAACGAGTCAACCCCAAACGCTGGTGGAAGAAACCTTACAGCTTCGCGCCACAACTAGTTGACCACAGGTCAACAGCGCAGTGACATATATTGACGTTGCAACCAGTAGACGTCACATATTGGTGCTGGACTGCGACCGCGACCACCAGCGGGTGTCAAAATATAAAACACAATGTGATGAGTTTTTAGTCCTGCAACCTGAACACCCCTTTTCTTAGTTAAGAGATTCTGCTGTTATGGTCACAAGGAGGCATTACTAAATGCCAACAAGTGAACATGTATCATGCAACCAAGGAATATTCGATCAGTAAATAGGGGAGATCAAGCTGCTGATACATTGCTTTTATTCCATTTGTCTCAAGTTAGCTTTCTTTGGATATTTTTGCCTTTAATGATTTCAAAAGTACAATTCTTTCTTACACACACAATAAAATTGTATAGATAAAAATCTTAAGATTACTCATAGAGAAATTAATTAAATATTAACATCATTTTTTCACAGTATGGTCACAGTAGAATTGAATCAATAAATATGATTATCTAATAAACTGTCAACTACACGGAAAATATAGAACCATTTTTTCCTTCTTTTTTTTATTATTTACAATTAAACTGCAAACAAACTTATCCTGTTGTTGCTTTCTGTTTACAGTTATGTCTTATAGACTAAGGATAGTATTACAGCCTTTAAAGTTTCAAATCAGTATCCATAAAAAGGCATCTAGCTGAAAGCTCCCATGCCCACAGAAATCATGTATCCATAAAAAGGCATCTAGCTGAAAGCTCCCATGCCCACAGAAATCCAGTATCCATAAAAAGGCATCTGGCTGAAAGCTCCATGCCCACAGAAATCCAGTATCCATAAAAAGGCATCTAGCTGAAAGCTCCCATGCCCACAGAAATCCAGTATCCATAAAAAGGCATCTAGCTGAAAGCTCCCATGCCCACAGAAATCCAGTATCCATAAAAAGGCATCTAGCTGAAAGCTCCCATGCCCACAGAAATCTAACATTGATTTCTCTGTAATGAGTAAAAGTTTTCAGAGAGTACAGCTGAACTGCTTTATAATATCAACCCTCCTATATGGCAGTAAATGCTACACAATTTCTGTTTCCTCTGTCATAATTCTTGCCTGTGGAAACTCTCTTCCAGCTTCTTGCTTCCCAGAAAACTTTGATGTTCAAAAATTTATATGCAACGTCAATTATTATCTTCTATCTTCTTAATTCTTGTTCTTTTATTGTTCTCTCTC